TAATATTTTTATGTAGTATTATTTTTTTATCTACTCCTACAAATACACGTACATATAAACATATAAAAATATTTGTGGGTCAGAAATTTAAAGAGTATATGAATTGTATGCTGCGTATTCTTTTTTTTTACGCTAAAGTGGAAAGTACTATAACGATAACAAAATCCACTGCTAAATCTGGTGAAGATCACGTATACTTATAAAAATAATGTTATTACAAAATTGAAAATTATGAAACAAATGAAGAAGATTAAGACTTGAGGCGAATGACACGATTGAAGTAGCCCCTTAGAAACATGTAACATTGTACTCACTTGTGGCTTGCTCTTCAAATTCTAGTAGGCGAACATCGATAAACTATATGGTCGAAATAATTGAATCATATACTCCGTTGTAATATTGTATGAATAGGGTAGTCAGCTGTGCAGGAAAAAAAATGTAATTAGTCCGTCAGTTAAATAATGAAAAAAGAAAACAATACTTACTTAGATAAAACGGATTTAAGTTTAGGAGCGGGGGTCGTTACGTCACGCTACCCTACCCTATAAAACGTAGTAAATTGTAACGTCCCACGATATTTCAAATCAATATATTGTCTAAAGTCTACCAGACGGACATTAAAATAAAATGTAGGATACTACCCTATTTGTATATTTTTGTAAATTAATCCCGAATTATATGTATAAATAAATAAGAAAAAATATATAAAATAAACATATTTAATGCAATTCATATAAAATAGGATACAGACGATATGAATGTGTGCTTGTATTTAATAGCAACTAATAATATTACCATTAACCAGACTTTAATTTAAAATAATAAATAGTTAAGAACAAAGGTTTAAAGCTATAAATTAACTAATATTTTATCCTATGTAGTATTTTACAGGTAAGCACAATACATACGTAGTTATAGTATATTAACAGAACCAAGCTGCATCTTACTTCGCTTCCATACTCTCACGTTTATGAGTTTAATAATAAGTATTGACAGTTCTTCGCCTGTTACGGAGTTGTTACATGGTCGCTACTCAGTCGGTAAAAAGTTGCTACGTATTTACTACACAGTTGCTACACCGGTGACACGTCATTTCTACGCCAATGCAATGCTGGTGCTACGCCGTTGCTGCGCTAGTGCTACGTTGGTGTTGTGCAGTTGCTACGTCTTTGTTACGTCGTTATTACGCCGTTGCTACACCGTTGATACACCGGGACTACGCCGATGCTACGCCGGTGCTATGCCGGTGCTTCGCCGGTGCTACGTTAATGCTACGTAATTGTTACGAAATTACCACGCATTGGTATACTAAGGCTTCATTGTGGTTTTGTAATTAGACTTACAAGTACTTCGCCATTACGTACTGTAATGCCAGATACTTATTGCATATATACCTCTATTGCCATTGTACATACATAATAATAACACCATTTGACGAAATTATAATTATGATTTAGTAGTTACTAAATCATATAGTTATTCTGAAACATTTGATTAATATTTAATTCGTTGAGTACCGTCATTATCGACAAAATTAAAGAACAATAGGTTGCGGTCACCGGTGACCGCTCGGTGTTTGACAGTTTAAATAAGAGAAATGTAGAGCCAATAAACGACCTTATTGGTAACAGCCACTACTACTACTATCAGCGGGTACTACCAGCGGGTAGTAAAGCATTTTGGTCTCTGTTCAAGGCGGTTGAATCGAACTTCTGTCGCCCGTCACTTCCTCCGCTCCTGGGGTCTAACGTGACACTGGCTCACACTGCGATAGAGAAAGCAAACCTATTTGCTTCTATATTTGCGGAGTCTTCACGTCTCGATACTGGTGGCGCCTCGCCTCCTTCTCGTAGACGACTCGAGACGTATATGTCGAAAATTCGCATACGTCAGAAGGAGGTATATAGGACACTGCGCAATCTTGACGTGAACAAGGCCAGTGGTCCCGATGAAATCCCAGCCGTGGTTTTAAAAACCTGTGCGCCTGAGTTGTGTCTAATCTTGACACGGCTGTTTCGCCTCTCCTTAGAGACTGGTCAAGTGCCGGTTGCATGGAAGCTGGCCACCGTGCAGCCAGTGCCCAAAAAAGGTAGTCGTGCCGACCCTAACAATTATCATTATTTTCGGTTTTTACAAACTTCAAAAAATTATTTCGGTTACGTCCTTATTCTGCAAGACTATGGAACGTGTACTTAACAACAGACTCCTGGTATATCTTGAAGGTAACGATCTCCTCAGCAATCGGCAATACGGGTTTCGACGTAACCGATCGACTGGGGACCTTCTTGCGTATGGCACTCACATCTGGAGCAAGGCCATCGAGAGGCACGGGGAGGCATTGGCAGTCTCCCTCGATATCTCGAAGACCTGCATATGGACTTCCTGCTGATCTGTGCAGATAGATAGCAGACTTCTTGAAAGATCGGTCAATACGAGTAGTCATCGATGGCTGCTCGTCTCACCAATTCGGTATTAATGCCTGTCCCTCAGGGGTCAGTACTTTCAGCGACGCTCTTTTTTGCTGCACATAAACGACCTGCTTAAGCCCGGTATCTTTGGGTATGCAGATGAAAGCACAGTTGTTAAAAGGTATGTGTTCGATGCGCGGACTAGCGGAACACAGATCCGGTCTCTAAGAGAATCCATGGTCGAGCGTTTCAACTCGTCCTTAAAGGCGGTCTCCGACTGGGGTGGTGCCAACTTGGTCAAGTTCAACGCTAGCAAAACCCAGCCGTGTCTTTTCTCTGCAAAACGGAGTCAATTTCCGCTGACTCCTACTTTCCGAAATGTATCCGTTCCGATAACTGATCATCTTGAGCTTCTTGGCGTATCTCTGACGCCCACACTCAACTTTGGCTCCTATATAGAGTCAAAAGCGCAACTGGCTAGTAGGAAGCTGGGTATCCTATGGAGGGTGAGACGGTACTTCACGCCGAAGCAATTGCTGAGTCTGTACCAGGCGCAGGTTCGATCGTGTATGGGGTACTGCTCTCATCTTTGGGACGGCACGGCTTCAAAGCCTCGAACACAGACGTAAGGTTGCAAGCCTTTTAATCCTTTACAGGATACATTTCGGAGAGTGTGCGGGGGAATTGCACAACTTGATCCCCCCTAGTCCTTTCCATCATGGTACCACAAGACAATCGGCGAAGCATCACCGATTCATGGTAGATGAATCGGTGATGCCCACACGCACGAAGCGCTTCGCATCAAGCTTCCTTGTGCATATTGTTAAGGAGTGGAATTCTTTGCCAGAGTCTATATTTCCTGAAGGGTTTCTATATAACCTGGGTGTCTTCAAGGCCCGAGTGAATAGGTTGCTTATGGGTCGCCATGCTCCATCGTAGGCCACATCATCGCTTACCACCAGTCGAATTAGGGGTCCAACTTCAGTCCCATTTAATATATATAAAAAAAACACCGTAAACAATAACTTTTCGACGAATTTTGAAAATTCATCATATTCTAAGTTCAGAATTGTCCATACAAAAATAGTAAAATAGATAAACTACCACTTTCTTTCTCTATAAATGCATCTTTGACTATGTATTTCTAATTAATTCATGATTTAAAACGTATTATGTAGAGTTCGTGACATTTAGAGTGCTCAATCAAATTTTATTTATTTTTGTATAAATTTTCAACCGACTTCAAAACAAGATAGTTCTGAGCTTTACCTGTATGTATATGTATTTTTACAGTTGGCTGAACTGATTTTGATGCGGTTTTCAGAAAAGTATTTTTTACACTCATACGTCCAAATGGGGATGATTGATGCTAATTTATGATTATAGACTTTACTTTTATTGTGTAGGGTTGATCTCATTAATATTTATTTAATTAAAATATGATTTACTTGTTATATTTAAAAAATGATTGAGCGTTATTACCCCGTACCCTGAACGCCATTACCCAAATCATTACCCAACACCGCTCAAACATGTTTTTTTAAAATAATTTACTACTATTAATCGGTCAAAGATACAAGTTTTAATTGTTAAATTGTTGATTACTCTATAATTAAAGACCTTATTACATTTCATAATTTAAATTAATAATAAATAATTAAAAATATACGCTATGTTTTCCTTAAGTAAACGCCATTCACCCTTCCTACACTAACAATTATGCCATTTCATGTTAAAACATTACAACGTCATCAAGTTCATGGAAAAGTATCGTTTCTGACATTTCAATAAAAGTATATAATTTTATAGTTTAAAATACCCTATCAGTACTTATTCTTCTATAAATCGTAATCAATATGCAACCAAAATAATATTAACGAAAACAGTAAACTAGTAATGTTCCAAAATTCAAAGTACTCAGTATTTCTTAGGGTTTCTTATTATCGAAGTGTTACATAAGAAGGTCGAGTTGGATCGCTAAAATATATAAAACACGAGCTTTGTAAACTCAGTATACTGGTTTCAGATGGTTCTAGTGGTGAACGGAAATGTAGACCAAAATCTAAACAAATCATTGTTCAATAACTAAAATTGTGTAGATAAACATTTGTTTACACATCACATGATGATGGATTGTAGTATGAGATACTTTAATCCTTATTTTGAGTCAAATAAATAATTTTAAGATACATACAGGGCACAGGGGCTCATCTAAATTTAACATCCATCTCGGATTTTATTCAGGGTAAGTATTTAGTAAAATGTAAAGTAAAATGTCGTGGTGGCCCGGAGGTTTAAGATCCTCTTCTCATACATGAGGTACCACTCTCTACCAACGACTAGTAAACGTGACTTTTTCCGAGTTATATGTACTTTCTAAGATCTAGACACCACTGACAAATGGTGAAGGAAAACATCGTGAGAAAACCTGGGCTTATAATTTCTAATTATAAGTTTGTAATCGGCGATTACAAAGCAAGCGTGGTGATTAATGCTCAAACCTTCTTCGTGTGAGACCTTCTTCGCTGTGCTCAGCAGTGGGCACTTATAGGCTGTTGATGAAGTATTTAGTAAGGCAATAACAAAACATCATTTTCATTTGAAATATTTTATTCAAAACTCATTCGCACAGTTGTACAGACAGCTAGATCGTCGCTAGTCTTGGTAAAATATCATAAACAAATAATATATGATTTCAATGAAATACTTTGTTGCGATTGAATGTATTTCTTTTAAAAAAATGGTGAAATATTCAATTCACAATAATTTTTTGACCAATACTTCTATTGCTACGACTTTAAATAAATAAGAAGAAATATAACTACAACTTGCGTACAGATGAAGGTTGGTACGAATTAATGCGAGCAGACGCTTTGCACCTCCTGGGTGCCAAGCGGTCGCAACAGTCTACTGAACTTTCGTACCCATCTCGATCTGTTTTATTTATAAACCTACCAGCACTTTAATATCAAAAGTTACAAAAGATCCTACAATATGCTTCTCGTGTAATCATATTGTAAAGTTTTTACAAAACGATTAAAATATTGGCCACTATCACTGAGCAAGTGCTAGTAAAAATCACGCGTCTTCCACGAATTAAAGAAAACAAGGACAGTCACTTTCTGTAAGACGTGAAAGAAGGAAAAGCACCGGCCAAGGATAACACGTCGACCGGTGCTTTTCTCATTATAGTAAACGGCCTTTTTACTTCTAAAATTATAATAGTCACTGGTCTCAAAACATGGCTTAAGTACTATACACCTAAAATATATAAATTATTACAAATTAAGTAAGGCATTTACAACATCAGGGATCCTTAAGATAACTTCATATTTACACGATACTAGACCGGTTTCTGTAACATCGTGTAAAAACAAAGAAATTGACTAAGCTTAAATCGGTAAAACAATTAAGTTTACATATAAAATGGTCAAGATTTCGGCGATCTAAATGACCTTTGAAGCTTGATATTGGTCGAAATATATTTTATTGATAGTATATTATTAGCTTCGCTTTGGTCAATATGAATTTTAATTTATGAGTGACATTTGATAATTTTGAACTTTTATCATAAAGGCCTAGTCGTTTACAACTTAGCACTATCGTTTGGCACTGACTTTTGTTAGAAAAGATAAATAATAAAATAAATTAGCCCTAAATTGAAGACTCAAAATTCATAAAATTTTAGTTTCAGAAATTAATATTAAAATTTATAATATTTTAATCACAGTCATGATCGGTTATTTCCTTAATAATTGAGTTGCGCGTGCCACGACATTTATGGAAAAGTAAAAAAAATCAATAACATAGATTACTACATATGACACGAAATCTTAAACTACTCCATGGGGATAATTTGAGTTGAGCATTATTCTTGTGCTTAGAAGAGTAGATGAAATTATTTATCACATAGGTGCTTCATCCCAGTGATGGCGTGTGCGAGACAGTTGCCGATGCTGTCGAAGATCTTCACCTTCGCCGCTTCGCGGACACAGCTGCAGCTATCATTTGTCGTAACATTGGCTCTGGTGTGCACGCTTTAGGATCGCATTTCATCTGACCGTCTCCTCCACATCTGCAAAAAGTTAATTTCATTTATATTGATTGAACTCACATAATTGTTTGATGACTTATATTTAGAGGTAGAAAAGCCAACTTCAACCCCCTCTTTTTTGAAGTCGTAACTGAATTAATATACTAAAACCTTCTCCTAAGTACAACACACTTTCCCGAAAACGGCATCAAACTCGGTTCAGCCAATCGAGAGGTAATCGCGCACAAGCATAATACATACAGGTCAAATTGAGAACCTCCTTTTTTGATGTCGGTTAAAAATTTTAATAAACCTTTGAAGAATTTATAAGATTTTACTATTGTCTATAAGCAAATTTATTTATAATCGTACTCAAGGAATGTGTAAAATAATTAGAATACTTACGTGCAGTGTAAACATGGTCCTGATGATGAGCGCACTACTTCTCCTACTTTGTACGTATGTCCTTTTATTTGACAGCCTCTTCTCTGAGCCGCCCCCTTGTATGAGTGAGTGGGGAAATGAGGAGGCAGTGTCGTCGTTGTCGTAGTAGTAGTGGTTGTAACATTGACTGTGGTTGCCATTGATACGGGACATTCATATCGAGGACAGCAGAAACCTTGAATGGGTTCTTCATGACATCCGTGAATAGGAGGTGGACAACTTTGTTGTAAACAGATGATGTCACTTCGGAAGCAGAAACAGAAATCACATGGGTCATCTCTTGGTATCTGTTGTGCTGAAACGTATACTTTTCCTCCGTAACGACAAGTTCCTGGTCCAAAGGCTTGATCCTCTTCGACGTAGTCAGGTTCACCGTATCCACCAGGGCCAGTTCCAGGTGGGAAATGATCGTCTTCGCCTGGACTTGGTAATTCATCTGTAGATTGTAAGTCGGGGACACTTGGTTTCGAAGTTTCTGTTGTAGTGCTTGATGGAAGGTTTTCGCTAGTTTCAACAGGCTTTTCCTCAGGTTTGTCAAACTTGTCATCAAATTCATCTCCTTCGCGTACAGTTGTGGCTTTTGTAGTTGAGAATACAATTTCTTCCGGTTTTGTGGTTTCTTGGGATGCAATCGGAGGGGATGGTTTTTCGGTAGCAGCGATTTCTTTTTCAGTTGGCGCAGTGTTGTCTGATTCTGAAGAGGGTAATTTTTCGGACTCAGTGGCAACTGCAGGTGAACTAGATTCTTCTGTAATTTCAATAGGAGCCGATGTTGTAGATTCTTTGTGGTCAGCATCATATTTATCCTCATCTTTAGCCGCAGCTGGTGTAGTTTCATCGGCCGGTACTGATTCTGTTACCTTTTCAGATATATCTTGAGGTACTTCACTGGATTTGGTGTGGGTTTCTACTTCATCAGTCACCTTAGTGGGCAATTCAGTGACTTCAGGTTCTCTGCTACTCTCTTGGTGTTCAGTTGTAAGTTTTTCTTCGGAGGGTAATGCTGTAGTGATGTGCTCCTCAATCTTTACTGTAAAGTCTTCGACAGAGGGTGAGACTGATGAAGTGTCTTCTACTGGCTTGTACGAGTGCTCCTCATCGGAAGGTGACGACGTGAACACTTCTTCTACAGGCTTATCAGAATGCACTTCATCGGTAGCTGATAATGTTGAGCTTTCTTCTACAGGTTTGTAAGAATGTTCGTCTACGGAAGGCGAAGATGTAGATGTTTCTTGTTCGGGTTTATAGGAGTGTTCTTCTTGAGTAGGTAATGACGTTGTAATAACTTCAATGGGTTTCAAAGAGTGTTCTTCCTCAGAGGGTATAGATGTTGATCCTTCTTCTACGGGCTTGTATGAGTGTTCTTCTTCTGTAGGCGATGATGTTGAAACACCTTCTATAGGTTTATTAGAAAGATCCTCCTCGGAAGGCGTTGTTTCTGAGGGTTCCACTACAGGTTTGCCAGAGTGTTCATCTTCGGACGGTGTTGGTTTTGAAATATCTTCTACAGGTTTATAAGAATGTTCTTCATCGAAAGGTAATGCCGTCGTTGTGTCGTCTACCATCTTGTGTGTGTGTTCTTCTAATTCAATTAAGTATGGTGTCGTTTCCGAATGATCAGTTTCAGCTGATGTATGTTCTGTTATCTTAGTAACTTCAGTTTGTTCAACCTTTTCTGTTACAGTAGGCGATTCTCGCAATGTAGTTGCAGTATCTTGTTTTTCTGTAACAGCATCTTTTTCCTGGTCAGTTGGCATAGAGCTTGCTTCTACAGATTCGGTTATATGTACTGGTACCTCTGTACGAACGTCATGTTCTCCATGTACATCTGGGACTTTAGAAATTTCTTCGTACTGTGTTGACATTACCTCTGGTTTTTGTGTTGATTCTTCTTTCGGTATGCTTGCCACAGTCATTTGTTCGTTAATTGTTTCTTTTTGTTCAGTAACAAGCGATTGGGGAACTTCGCTTGTGACTTGCACACTAGGCATTTCAGTTTGGACATTTATTTCTACTAATGGTTGTTCAGTGGGTTGTTTTTCTATTTCTGTATCTGATGGTTCCTTCTTGTCCACATCGTGTGTGGGCATTGGCTCTGGTGATTTTGTTTCGTGCTCAATTTCTTCATCAGGTTGTGCATGTATCACATCTTTCTCTTCCGACTTTGTGCTTGTTTCTTTAACTTCTGTAACGTAAGGCTCTGTCACATATTCAGAAATTTTGGTTAATTCTTCAGTTGAATGTTGAGTAGTTTCTGATTCAAGTGAAGTTGTGTCTTTATGTTTATGCTCAGAAAGATCTGGGATAGCTGTGGTCTTCTGTTCAAATCTAGTTGTAACCTCTTCAGGGATATGAGAAATTTCTTGAGAATCCGTAATAAGAGTCTTTTCCGTCGTAGGTAATTCAAATTCACTTGTTGTTGGTTTTTCTTTTTCTACTTCTTGCATGTGTTCAGGTGTTTTTGTAACAGGCATTTCGGCCTCTTCAGTATCCGTGTCTATTGTAAGGGGCTTGTCGGAACTGGTCGCACCAACATCATTTTCTTCTAGTTTATCAGTAACAGAAGGTAAGCGATGTTTTGTTGAGTCTTCAGGGTACGCAGTTGTCACACCTCCTTGGCCAGTGACTGACGGGTCCTCGACTTCAGTAAACGTTCTAATTGGCTCAGTAACAGAATCTGTGATCATTTCTTCCTTTTCAGAACTGGCCAAATCAGGACGCTGAGTTTTACTTTCATCATCGTGTGTGGTTTCAACAGTGACATGATACTCTTTATCAGAAGTATCGATCACAGGTAAGGTAGATGTTTCAGTTACATGGGGTTCTGGAGTTAGTTTATCCTCATCCTTTTCATAAACTTTAGTTGCACTTTCCTCGGTTGGTTTATGTAGTTCTGGTGATTCAGTGTCAAAACCGTCTTGTGGTTCAATAATAACTGGACCAGTTTCTGGAAGTTTAATCGATGTGGTTTCGATGTCCGGCGAATCCGTGGATATATCTTCTTCTTCACCTATAGGCTTTGATGATTCTTGTATCTCTGTTGCTTTCGTACTTAATGATTCACTGCTAAGGTCTGGTGCTACCGTGCTGCTATATTCTTGTTCTTGTTGTTTGACAGTCGTTACCGTTTCATGTATGGACACTGGTGACCTAGTAGTAAGTTCCTGTTCCAAACGTGATTCTGTAGCGGTTTCAGACATCTGGGAAGTTTCATGAATATCAGTCACTTTATTTTCTTCGGAATCTGATACTTGTTTGATAGGAGATTTAGTAGATGTGCTAACATCCATTGTTTCGATATTTAGTTCGGTAGCTGTTGATTGAGACTCATAAACGGGTGCCTTTGTGATTTTATCTACTTCAGTCATTGCTGCTTCAGTTGTTTCAATAGATGTTTCAGGTAATTTCTCTTCCTTTTCAACCTCTGTGCCAGGCGTGACTTCGAGACCATCAGAACCAGAGCCCTCTTCTTCATGAATTATAGGTTTATCAGTTACTTTCACGTCAACAATACTGGGTTTATCTGTAATATCTTCATCAATAATTACAGGTTTTTCTTTTTCTGCTTCCTTATCTCCAACAGGTTTTTCATTTTCTCCGACTAGAATAGGTTTTTCAGTATCTACTTCATCTACTGGTTTTACTTGGTTTTCTCCATCAATTCTTACAGGTTTACTTGTTGTGTACGTTTCAGATACAGGAAGATCTTCTATAGACTTTTCGGTAACATCTGGTTTATCTTTACTTTCCTCAAAGGCCGGTTTCTTTGTTTCTTCTTTTTCAGCAAAATCGGGTTTTGTTGTATCTTTTTCAATAACAGCAGGTTCTTCTGTTCCTTCATCAATGATGACTGGTTTATCTGTACTTTCTTTTTCAGTAAAGTCAGGTAATGCAGTACTTTCACCGTCAGTGAATGGTTTCATTGTTTGTTCTTCAGTCGTATCTATAGGTTTTTGATCAGTGTCGTTGGTAATTGGTTTTTCTTTATTTTCTTCATCACCTTCAACTGGTTTTTCTGAACTTATATCGAGTGGTAGTTCTGTACTTTCTCTATCTATAGGTTTCTTTTCGTTTTCTTTTTCCTCTAATGAAGATTTCTCATTATCTTCATTCACGTAACTAGGTTTATCTGAAGGTACGGATGGACTTTCTGTGCTCTTTTCTTCTTCAACCTGTGCTGGGGTCGAAGGGGTTTCACCAGAAAGTATAGAATCAGTAACTGGTCTTTCTGTACTTTCATGTTCAACGTGGACTATTTCTTTTTTGTCTTCTTCTAAAGGTTCCGTATCTATTAAATCTGGATGTTTATTTTCTTCTTCTGATGCTGGTTTTTGTGTGAGATCTTTATCTGCACCGTCTTTGTCAATAAAAGTAGATGTTTCAATATCATTTTCGCCAAGATCAATCGGTGCCTTTGTTATTTCTTTGTCTTCCTCACCTGTTACAGCTACTCTTGTAGTAGTTTCTTGCATTGTAATATCAGGGGTCTCGGCAGCTATTGTTTCAGCTGCTGGTTTATCTGTACTTTCTTTATCAGTAAGATCAGGTTCTCTCTCTCTGACATCAATTTCACTTTGTTCATTCTTATCTTCATCATCTGAGGGTTTTACTTTTCCTTCATCATCTCCTGCAATGATTTTTTCTGTACTTACTGATGGCTCTGTTGTATCTTTTTCTGTATCAATTGGTTTATCTTTATCGTCGATCAGTGATGGTTTTTCTGTCTCTATATTTACAACAGGTGGCATATCAGTACTTTCTTGATCTATAACTGAAGGGATGTCTGTATCTTTTTCTTCATCAATAACGGGTTTCTTTGTGCTTGCTTCGTCAATGATAACTGATTTCTCTGTGTCTGCTTCACTAGCAGTAGTGGGTAATTCTGTGCCTTCTTTTTCAGTAACATCAGGTTTATTTTCATTGTCATCAGTTACGGTGGGTGTACTTATGCTGTCTGCACCTTGGTCTTCAGTTTTTTCGTGTGGCCTTTCTTTACTATCTTCATCAGTAGTGGGTTGATTCTTTTCGGTAGAAGCCGGTGTTTCAGCGGCCATTTCTTCTTTTGATGTTGGTTTCTTCGTAGATTCATATTCAGTGACAGGTTGTTCTTGTCCAATATCTTCGCTTGTCTTTTCGGTTGTGCTTGGCGTCAGAATTTCGTCTGTTGGCGATTTTTCAGTTTTTGGTGATTCAGTACTCAATTCAGTACCTTCAGCAACAGTAGTCTCCTTTTCAATGACACAGTTAGGGCCCTCACAAGCACTTGGTAGATTTTCGCTATTATCTGAAACTTCTTTCCTTCTGCAAGGTTCATCTCCAGTACAGTCAGAAGTAGGAATATCTTGAGGTTTGCAACCCTCTTCTTTATTGCACAATTCGGGTTGTTGGTCAGGCTGAGGTGCAATATTGCTTTGATCACAACCATTAGGACCACAATCAATTTTGTTACATAATTCTCCTTCGCAAGGTGCAACAATGGTAGGTACCTCTTTACACTCTTCTCCTGGTTTACATGCTTGTTGAGATACTTGCTCATCAGTTTGTGGCAACGTACATTTTCCGTAAGCACAGTCTTGTGATTTGCAGTTACCGTCAGGACACTCCTTAGACGGTAATTCGTCAGGTTTATGTTCAACACCTTTGCAACCTTCCGAATCACATTGAATATCAGTTTTATGATCATCTTCATTAATGCAATTATCAGAAGTACAAGGTTCTGATGAACCAGTTGGTTGTTTTGTTGGTTCACTAAGTTCGCATTGATCACCACGGCATTCAATGGTGGGAGAAGGTATAGGAGATTCTGTTCCTGACATTTGGTTGTCTGACTGCGGTGGTACCGTTTCTCGCGGATGGTCACACACAAATGTTGGACAACAAGAATCAGGCGAGTCGTAAATAGATTGGCAATTGTCCATATAGTCAGGTGGTGGACTGCAAATTATGGGATCACACTTGATAATACTGCTAGCGCATCGGCAACCCGTATGACAATTGTTTGTGCTAGGTACTACAGTATTATTTCTGTATGTTACACCATTAAGTAGACAATCGCCTTCACCTGGTATGCGACTAGATTCTTCATGGATATCTTCACTACCAACGGTGATATCTGATGACTTCTCTGTAGTAGGTGTTGCGCTACTATCTTGTTCAGATGTTTTCTCGGGTAACATTTCAGTTACCAACGATATAACCCTGGTTGGTTCCGTTGTTGTTTGCTTAGGCTCCGAAGTTTCTATTATTTCTGTTATGTATTCTGGAACTGATGTGGTAAACTCATCTTCGATTGCTGGAAGATCAGAACTTGTAACAGTTTTCTCGTCATGTGCCGATGTCGGAATGAGTCCTTCATCAACAAACTCTGGTTTGATTGTAGTTGATCCAAATTCTTTAGATTTTTCTGTTGAAACTATTTCGTCTTCCTTTCTAAATGATGGTTCAGTTGTGACAGTTGACTGATCACCTCTGGTAATCGTACTATCCAGATGACCTGTTGTAATTTCAGAGACTGTTGTAGGCGTTTTATCTACGCTTTGTGAATGGACTGGTACTTTGGTTGCGTCTTCGTGAATGTCTTCAGGAATAGTGTTCATTCCTCGGTCAGGCTCTGCAGTAGTTTCGGAATCTTTTGTTATCGATTCTGTAGCAAAATCTTCGTGTTGGGTCACCACGTCTTCCTTAGTTATTTTGTCTGTTTGTTGTTCCACGGCAGGTTTTGTAGTTTTGTCTTCTTCAACGGATGACACCGCGAGTGTGGTAGAAGAAAGGTGTGCATGAGGCGTACTTTGTTCGTCTGCAATTACAACGGTATTTTCACCATGATCCGGTTCAGTGGTTAACTTTTGTTCTTCCTCCAAAGGACTACGTGTAGTTAATTGTTCGGGCTTAGAACTTTCTTTTTCTTCTACAGTTGGGCCGCTTGTAGTGCCAGGTACTACGTCGCCGGGTTTAGAAACTTCCTTCTCTTCTTCAGCTGGGCTACTTGTTGTGCCAGGGATATATTCGTCAGGTTTTGAAGTTTCCTTATCTTCTTCAATTGGGCTGCTAGTTGTGCCAGGAACCTTCTCGTCTGGTATAGAACTTTCTTTTTCTTCTTCAATTGAGCTTTCTGTAGTGCCATATACTACTTCGTCAGGCTTAGAAATTTCCTTCTCTTCTTCCACTGGACTGCTTGTTGTACCAGGAATATATTCGTCGGGTTTCGAACTTTCTTTCTCTTCATCAACTGGGTGACTTGTGCTTTCAGGTGCAAATTCGTCAGGTTTTACACTTTCTTTTTCTTCCTCAACTGGGCTATTTGTAGCGCCTGGTACAAATTCATCAGGTTTAGAACTTGCTTTTATTCCTTCAGCTGGGCTGCTTGTAGTTCCAGGCATTACTTCGTCAGGTTCAAAACTTTCTTTCTCTTCTTCACCTGGACGGCTTGTACTGTCAGGCGCATATTCGTCAGGTTTAGAACTTTCTTTATCTTCTTCAGCTGGACTACTGATCGTACCAGGAATATACTCGTCGGGTTTAGAAACTTCTTTCTCTTCTTCGATCGGGCTACCGGTAGTGCCAGATACTACATCACCTGGTTTATATACTTCTTTCTCATCTGCACTTGGGGTACTTGTTGTGTCAGTGGCATACTCGTCTGGTTTGGAACTTTCTTTTTCTTCTTCAACCGGGCTGCTTGTGGTACCAGGAACATATTCGTCAGGTTTCAAACTTTCTTTATCTTCTTCAGTTGGGCTGCTTGTTGTTTCAGGAATCTTCTCGTCTGGTTTAGAACTTTCTTTCTCTTCATCAATCGAGCTTCCTGTAGTGCCAGATACTACTTCGTCCTGCTTAGAAATTTCCTTCTCTTCTTCTGCTGGACTACTTGTTGTATCAGGAGCATGCTCGTCGGGTTTAGAACTTTCTTTATCTTCTTCAACTGGACTGCTTGTTGTGCCAGGAACATATTCGTCAGGTTTCGAACTTTCTTTCTTTTCTTCAACTGGACTGCTTGTTGTGCCAGGTACATATTCGTCAGGTTTTAAACTTTCTTTCTCTTCTTCAACTGGGGTGCTTGTTGTGCCAGGAACATATTCATCAGGTTTCGAACTTTCTTTATCTTCTTCAACTGGGCTGCTTGTTGTGCCAGGAACATATTCATCAGGTTTCGAACTTTCTTTTTCTTCTTCAACTGGGCTGCTTGTTGTGCCAGCAACATATTCGTCAGGTTTCGAACTTTCTTTCTCTTCTTCAACTGGGCTGCTTGTTGTGCCAGGAACATGTTCGTCAGGTCTAGAACTTTCATTTACTTCTTCATCAGGGCGACTTGTAGTAACAGATGTTACTTTATCGGGTTTAGAGCTTTCTTTTTCTTCATGAATTGGGCTTTCACTTTCTGCTGTTACAGTTGGAGTCGTTCTTGTGGCATCACTTTCAGTGTATTCCTTTTCGGGTATTTTGCTGTCTTTATCTACATCTACCTCAGTTTCACTCGTACCTGGTACATTTGTTGTGATTAGAACGTGCTCATGTGGTTTACCGATTTCTTCTTTGGGAATTACATCAGGTACAGTATTTTGTTCTTCACCCAAATCAGTTGTACTTTCTTGTATTTCAGGGACCTTAGTTGATGGTTTAGAAATTTCTTCTTCCGTTACTTTACTAGTAGTCTTCTCTTCACTCACAGGAGCATTTGTCGTCGGACCATAGATATGAGGTTCGTCGATCTTTTCTCCTTCATCGGGAATGATGTTCTTATTAATTTCTGGTGTTGTCTTATCGTGTTCGTCAACGATAGGAGCCTTTGTTGAGCTATAAATGTATTGGTCCTCATCTCCTGGAGTTGTTATAATGTCCTTAGGGCCAAGAGGTTTTGAAATTTCTGGTTCTGGTTCTTCCCCACTACCTTCTAATTCAGTTGCGGTAGTCATTTCTGTGTAAGGTGCTTCATCAGGTTCATTTCTGTAGCCACTGCCTTCGACATTAGTTCTTCTTGGAGGCGACAGAGTTGTGAGTGTTTCTATCATTGAATCTGTGGCCGGTTCGCTTGGTAGATCAGAAGTCAGTTCATCGCCTTCACAAATGTATGTATCTGGACAGCATTGACCTTCACGAGGTGGTAGAGATGTACAGTTTTTGCCTTCATTTTCCATAGGAGCACCACATTCTTGTACGACACAAACTATGTCTCCCTTCATACAGTAACAATGTTGACATGCTTTCTCTGTTTTGATTAAGGCGCCATCCGAAAATATTTGATCATCGTGAACACAATCCTGAGTCATCTGTGTTACTGGTGACAAAGTTGTAGTTGTGAGTAAAAATCCTGGAGTCGGTCGCACAGTAGTAGTCATGTCGTCCAAAAGCGGCACCTCATCCTCGTGATCTGGAGTGTAAAAAAATAAACAATCAAAATACGTCAATAAAAAAGTGCTCGAAATATTAACATTAATAATAAAGAAATTGTTTTGATTCTCATTCTGTAAATAAAACTAATGTAAATGGAAACTTACCACAAGAATAACGAATCGGACAGCAGACGTCTTTGTGGTAGATAGGCGTACATCCATCTACATGCAGGGTACATTCTTGCATAACGCAAGTCGTCATATTTCGAATACAGTAGCAATGTTCGCATGGTTTGTTCGGGGTCGGAGGTACTTTAGATCCTTCAGGGAAATATCTTCCGTTAATACTGCAACCGTATTTATCCTGTTTACCGATTCCAGTTGCTCCATATTCAGCTGGAGACGTTGTCGACGTAGATGTGAGTAGGTCAACTGGAACTGTAATTTAAATTATGATTAGATTAAATGTTTGCCCAAGTAATTAATTTGAAATAGTAACATGTGATAAAAAGTGCGTGTGCGATTGTTGACAGACAACTTTTTCATATCTATTTATGGTTTGTAATGCTTAGCAGTAAAGTAGTATTTAAAGTAAATAGACTTACCATCAGGGCATGTGACGATAGGACAACACTGATCATCTCGTTTTTCGACAGTGCAGTCCTGGCCAATAGCTTTGGTGAAAGGACAAACCCTGAGGTAGCACATCAGCATTCGGTTGTGACAGGTACAATTTAGGCATGGTTCGTTTGTCATAATACGGTCTCCTTCGCCATAATGTTGGAAGTTGTAGAAACAACCTTCTGGAGCATCTGAAATTTTATTATTCGAACATGTTACTTTTTTTCTGACAGTTTTTATCTTAGAATAAACCGCATTAATTAATCATGTTATGTGTGATGTAAACATTGATTGCATTTTTCTCTATTTTTTCAAGGTGATCTCACGCTACTTCATTTTCATATGTTCTTGGTACATTTGCAAACATATATTTCGTTGTTCTGCTAGGGAGTTGAACCCCTGTTATCACAACCGCAGGTCATAGGCTACTGCGCAGTTCATATAGTCAAATGTATGTTACGCTATGGTTATATTTTACCAGTAGGTATGTATATACATAGTATACAATGTCTACACAATGAGAAAACTACTTACTTTCATACAAATCTAAAGCTGTCTGATTGCTTGCTGTAGGAGCTGAAAACAACAAAAGAATTTTATATAAATTACATGAAATCAATTATTTAACTTTTATATTTAAATGAAATCATTAATTAAGGTGGTTGCTTGGGCTTCTCTATGTTAATTTAATTTTTCGGTTTCTCGTTATTTTCTTATCGGGTATTGCGGTAGAGTGACTCGTGTAAAATATGTTCCGCTTGCATGTTGCCGGATTATATTTTTCTTCAATCATTTTCAATGTGATGTTTTAAGTAACTAGTAGCCCAAGTAGAAATAACACGTGCTCAGTCTGCAGTTGTTTCTGCAGGACATTTTGTATGCGGGGCGAGTTAACAAGCAATTTGTTGATAGACAAAGTCATTTTCTTGATATATATTCATAATTTTGTTGGACACCGACCGTTGTTAAGAGAAAAATATCAATACAGACATTTGAAGTGAGCGTGTTCTGAGAATATTTTACTGCTGTTTTTACGACTGACTTATTAAGCATGTTACAGCTGTGCAGGATATTAGCTGCAAATCGCTCGAGACCCGTGATCGGTCATCGTCTTAAAGTCGTTTTACATATCCGTTTTACTGCGTATAATTACTGAAGCTGAGCGGCAACGCGACAAAGCTGTAATTAAACTAACGGAGAGAGTCGTTAACACCGAAACTACGACTTCTCTGTCGATTGTACTTAGGGTTCAAACATTACACTGACACTGAAATAGAAGTACATGCTTGCACCATCCTAATCTTCTTACTTTAAGTACATTTTACATGAGAAATTATTTCCTATTAGAAATGAATGTAATCTCTTAAGGACTTAACTCTAATAGATTATTTAGAAGTTGCAAATAATAAAAGAAAACCTATCATTAGAAACAGGGTTTATATTAGAAAGAATGCAATTAATTTAATGTTTTCTTTGAATACTACGTAGATTTAGAGTAAAAGCAATTGATGGTGTCACTGAATGCAATATGCGTTGTGGTTATCATCAGAGAGTTGCATGGCGACGCGCGGCGCACCGTTAGGGCGCGGGCCGCGGGCGCGCGGGCTCGGCGCGCCTCTATATGGCGGGTGCGCGGTGGCGCCGCAGCCAGATCGTCCACCTAACGGTCGCCAGGAATGTCGTTAGCATCCAGTTTTTGCCAACCGAGATTTCAATTATACTATTTCTACTATCACGATTAAAATTGATCGTAAAAACAACGGAACATAGTCGTAACGGATGAAATCAAACATCCTTTTTTTTTAATATTTTATCTATCATAAATAGTCACCTGTTCTTAAAAACAAAGTGAATAAAGTGGGTTACTCCCACGTACAGAGAGTAGGTGTCAGTGCGCGACGAAATGTACAAATTCCAAGTTGCCTGACTGAATAATAAGTACCGAATCATAGCCGAGTTTTCAAGTACGTGACGTAGCATTTCTAATTCCCATGATACCTAATGAATCGCTTTTACGTATAAGTGTGACGTTATAAATGGCTTTGCATGAACAAAAAACTACTTAATGCAAAATCGTGCGCTTAGGAACACGGGTCGAGGCAATCGAAATGAGGAGCCAGCATGAATTTAAAATTTGCACTACATTAATATGGATTGTTGTTTCAATGAATGAATGTCGGCGTGGTCGCCATGCGTGATGAAGTTCACACGGGTAGACCTAAACATTGTAGGCCGCATTTAAATATACTTCCTATGTATAACATAAATTCAATACGAATTCTTTGAAGGGACCGTGCTGCGGATACTAAATCTGCGCGGACCAAAATAGCCTCATCTAATAACATGCATCGCAAAACTGACACGCACAGACCTCTGTACTGTTACTCGCGGCTACGGGGAGATACCGTCACGACCACGCGCCGCCTTCCTGAGGGAAATAATCTAATTCATAATACCTACATCATTACAGGAATACTCATTACACCACTCGGTGAAACGGATAGAACAAGATTGGGCCGTATTACTTCATTTAATATGCTCTCCCGGGACTTGCGTTACTGAATAGTGAATATGATGATAAGATGGAAATAGTTGCCATTCATGAATGATAAGTGCATTGCATAATTTTATCAAGATAAGTTGTAATGCCTGAGACAAGACGTATTCTTGTCATATTAAAATTATTGACTAAAAATGAAATACATTAAACTAGGTATTTTTAAATTAGCAAAAAGAACGATAGCTGCGGAAGTATTGTGAAATGTATATGTATCACGAGCACAATGTTCTCACGACTAGTGGGTCGCAGATAAAGCAACGGTAGATACAAGTTTAGCAGCACCATCAAAATATAATAAATAAGAATTAGTGTAACGCCGCCACGAACATTTACATATTACTACCTGTGGAATGTTTTCCTAGTACCTGTCATAATAAGAAATTCACTACTCAATATCATTTCTATGTTATAAATTTGCAATTCATATGTTTACAGGCTTATAAATATCTAGGTGTACAATAAATACATACATATTAATGAATAATACGAAAGGAAGACTAAATAACGTCGTCAATTGCATAATAATTGTATGTAGATGTGTTTGTTCGTCGAATTACTCTTTAAAGTTACTAATTAACTGAATGATTTGCCACTAGCTTTTAATAGACAGGTGCAAGCAAGCAAGTTACCTACAACTTTCAATTAATAGATAAATTAATGAATCTGTTTAGCCATTGTATGTATATAAAGCTCGCAAGTGTCACATTATGATTTTATTTTCCTTTACAATGTGTCCTATTAAGGTAATGGTTGCTTTAAAGCTTGTCTTCGTGTAATTCGTGTATTTCTAGTTTGGGTGTTGGTAGACGCTTTGTAGTGTCGCGCTCAGGATAACACAATGAGAGCAGCCCCACGGAAACATGAACCCTTGGAGCAGGAGGGACTCACCCGCAGCCGAGCACGCGATGCATGCGGCCAGCGCTAGCAGCGCCCCCGCCGCGCGCCGCCGATCCATCTGACCCCGTCCTCTGCAACAATCACACAATCGAATCAATTACTGTCGCCTCGTATCATCTCCACCTACACTGTTGATACTCGCTCACAATTACTTTGTGGGGAATGTTTCACGAAACAATTTTATTGTTGGTACATTTGCACACGTCTAGTAAAACGTCTCAAAATACATAGCGCTCCGATAATAGAGATACGCCAACTTATATTTAGTTAGAGTATGAAAAATCGATAAAAGCACCGAAATTGTAAAAAAGGCTTCCCATAGTAAAAGAACAAGGTAACAGCCGGAGCAAAAATGCCTAATGATGCGGAAAAAAACAATTATTTTATCTCCATAACGCGGACTACTAATAAAAACGACGGTGAAGCAAATAATTCGGGCTGCAGACACATTTAATTTGCTTTTGCTTTTTGTTTTGTCTAAAGATTTTCCGTTGGCTGACTAGATATCCCGATCCGAGTGCAAAATAGTCGATAAACTTAAGATTGGACACAGCTTGAATCAGAGGGTCTTTGATAAATAATGATAGTAAAACGAAATGGTTCAAGGAGTCTACGACACAAGGAGTCTACACACGAAGCAACTCGTGCTTGAGTGGGAGTACTGTCGGGATCAACAATCATGGTATATCTTCCACACTCTGAATCGATTATTCCCCACATCTACGTAAAGTTGTTTCCTTGTTCATGTTGCAGTAATAAGCTCAGCATTAGTTAACGTTGTAGGCAGTTAATATCTACATTTGCCTACATTCCACCGCTATCTTATCTAAGTTAGCAATGACGATCGTATAAAACGGTAATTAAGAATTCTACTTAGTATTGTTGAACGGTACATTTTAGCCCAGAGCTAGGCCAAGGAACGCGGAAACGTGAGGTTCGCACAAAAATGTGCCCATTTAGCTGTGAGTGAATGGGAACTTTAACTGTCCATTCAGAGTGGTTGGAACGACGGCAATTCAAAACAATGTTAGCAGTGGGCAGTTTTAAAGGATTTTCAATGAAATACGATGTATGGGCTAACATATTTCTAGAAACCACTGTGAATATTAAATAGTCACTTCTGACACCTCGAACAACGGTTAAACACCACTGTTCTAGTTTGCGTTTTTTTTTATTACTATATTATTATGTATTTCTCTATCAATTTTTACTTCATTTAAATTTTAAATTTATAGATTTGAAGTAAATGTATCGATTTTGTGACACAAATGTTTTTAAGTTTACTCGAAATGTTTTTATTTAAGCTTACACAGAAAAACCGTTTATAAGAAACGGTATTGCAAGTATTTTTGTTTACGCTAGCTGAAAGAGTCAATAGGTGTGGAGCAAATTATTGTAACTCCAGGGTCCGTAGCGTAAGGCGAGCGTTACCGTGGGAACGCATCCGCGCCCGACTTCTGCACACATAACCACACACACACACACATACCTACTCATTACGTACCACACACTACACCTTACACGCATTTTTCAACAGCCTCCCTTGCCTCTCCGGCCAATCGTTGGGGAGCTTTCTCTATTTTTCTTGTCATGAAAGTAACTTGCGTACAATACGTAGGTATGTCTTACATAAGTACCTCTCAAACTTTTGTAGCGTAATGGTTAGAAGAAAGCTCGTTGTACCTTTTTTCTTAAAAACTGTTTACACAATTTTTACTTTAACCAAATTTAATGTACCCTCTTAGCACGAGGTGCGCAAATATCCATAGATATAATCTATATGGTTATTGTGGGGTCCCTCCGTCTAGACACTCTATGCAAGTCACCTCCGCAGCTCCGCGGAGAGGGTGAGGGTGCGGAGTGTTCACCACTATCTATTTATTTGCTTTACTAAAATACCACGTGCACGTGTTCTAGACGTTAAGAGCCATTCACACTGTCGTGTTGTTATGTGTTCTTGATTTTTTGCGCTATGTTTGTAAAACAAAATTAGAAATACAAACAATCATGCGCTTTGTGTTGTTCCCTGTCATGCAATATACGAGTGAGTACCAAAATAATTTACTTCGAGGTAATGTTGTGATTACGAGTATTCATGTCGGGGAGCTCCGATTCTTTCTCCGTTCACAATAGGAACCCACTTCTCAAGCATAATTTGGCATACCGTTTTTTCCAGCGGTATGACGTCAAAAGTAACAGTTAATCTGATTAAAATAAACCTGAATTTGAAACGCAGTCAGTTGGAAAGCCACAAAATATATGGCGCACTTAATTGTTATTGTGAACTCACAACCGCGGAGCTTGAGACGAGTGGTGACGCCGCCATTGATCAAATGCACTCATCTACACAAACGCTTCAAGAGCTACGAGCTGCTACGCAATCTGTAGCACGTTTTGACATTGCAAACGTTTCAATGATTTAATAATGAACTTAACCTACGTTTTAGGGGTCAAAGTTATTTGAATTATAACAAGTACACATTCATTTTAGCACAATTATACTGAGATGTTTTTATGAAGCTTATGAAATGTTACAGCCAAAATGAGTTTGGATATTGTTTATACATTTTATACTATCCTCCATTATTTATACAATCTACTGAAAGTGGCCAAACTGATAAGTAATAAATTTTGAATACTATCGTAATAGAAAAGGACAAAGTTATAATTGTTGAACAATTTGGATGTCTTAGAATAGTCACGGGATAATGATCAGATCAGATCTATAGATTGTCATGGTGAATAATAAGGTTAAGTTAGTTTTTATCGTCCAAAATGATATATATCCATACATCCTAGTAATATTACAAATGCGTGTTTGTTATTCTTTCACGATAAAACTTTTAGATGGTTTTAGATGAATTACATATAAGTATAAAGATATATTATAGTCTGGAATAACATTTAGAACCTTTATTATTTTGGCTAATTTCAATTTGCTACTCCAAATTATGTCCGAATAAAGTGGTTATAAAATTTGTAATTTACATGGATAAACTGATTCGGATGTTGTACCTATAGCAATTATCCATGTACAGTATCATTTTTATTATTATAAATACAAATAGGTTTATAATATGTAGCTGCAAACGTGCAAAAAACTAATATACGTATTTGTAGATTCGATTTCTCATAGGTGATGTAATAAGTAAGGAAATATGCATTATTATAGCGGGGAATAAGTAAAGTGATTGAATCAGATCAGAAGGGCGTGTTGGGCTGACGGCGATTGGGCGCAGAACGGCATGTCCGCGTTGCGATGTTGCTCAACACATAATTTCGGAACACTGCAACCGCAGCGAGCATTGACACCAATTTCTTGAACATTGAACAACTGCTTGAGATCGAGAATCTTGTGCATTATTATTATTGGACCTAAATCTCTTAAGTAGATGGTAATTTTGTTATATCATTCATTACACATTTTAATCAATTTTTGTAGGGGCTAAAGAATAAATTGTTATACCGAAATACATAAATACTTTTCAATGTGTTTTCATTTCAGATCAGGATAACAACGGCTGACTAATATTTCATTTTAAAATTATAACTATTACCACAATTATCTACTATTATTTACTGAGTATACTTTTAAATTCGTTGCGATTGATAATAAAACGAACTTAAAACCGTTGAAATAAAAGAAAGCAAACAAAAGCAATCAACCAATTCAAGTGTGGGAGAGCCATGCTTCGGCACGAATGGGCCGGCTCGACCGGAGTGATACCACGGCCTCACAGAAAACTGACGTCGTCATGTGAGTATGGTTACCGGAGGCCCAATTACCGTCCACTTCCCCAATCTCCCCAATCCCTGAATCCCCAACGATCCTCAAAGACTCCTAATCCCCAAAAAGCCGATAACGCACTTGTAACGCCTCTGGTGTTCCAGGTGTCCATGGGCGACGCCGATTGCTTACCATCAGGTGATCCGTCTGTTCGTTTACCGGCTTATGACATAAAAAAAATCGAAACTAGAAAGAAGAAAAATTATGAGTGATGATTTGTGGATTTTCCCCATAAAACTAGTATAGCTAGACCCGGATCGTATAGTACGAGACGGCGTACTAGATGTGAGACGCGATGACCGGCGGGTCACTCGGCAGGAGGGCACAGAGTCACGGAGCACTCCCACCTACTCCGGCAATGCTGCGCGCGTACCCAGTCACTTTTATATTCTCGGTCTAGATAACAATCTAAAACCTGCGCATGTATTACATTGTAGAATAGCTGTATCGATTCGTAAGTTCTCACAGGACGTTCTCACAGCTCTACGTTCGCAAGCGCAACTACATATTCGCGAAGCACTCAGTTATCCAATGCGCGCGCGCCGTTCGCACAATGCGCTCACGTACGCGTGTCGCGATTATCGGTCGTCGTAAATTACAAGTGATTAGCATAGAAGTCGTGTACACGGCGACGGTGCGACGTTATTAGATTCGGCTACAAGGCGACACTACGTCGTTATTAGGCGATAATTGTCGCTGAAGTGTAGCGGTCGATTAACGGCAGGCCCGACCAGCCACATCCATACTAAGTAGCCGCATGCACTCCTCGCATACCACGTCTTGTGTACAACGATTCATTTATAGCAATTATTAACTGCAATTTGTTAAACTACTTTAATAACGTTAGTATTGACATACAGCACGTGTAACTTACAGTATCTAAACGCAATGATGTTGAACCGATGAGCAGATGATAATAATCGAAAAAGGACGGGTCTATCCTCTCTACAGAAGTGGAAGCACAGTGTAGTGTAAGTAACTCAACGTGGCAGGGTTTGTGTGCCTCAAGGGAACGGGTAGGAAGATAGCAAATATTAGTTTCCTTCATGAGGTACTCGCGGTTCGTTGACCCGCGTAAATTTTGTGCCAGGAGATACACATAAATATAAACTATCTAGACTGGTTCATCAAGATATAACCGCACTTTTTTGGTATCTAAGTAAGTGTATATGTGATGTCAGATGTATATGATTTATTGTATTGTATGTCAGATGTATATGTATTACGAAATATTTAAAAGGAAAAGCATGCAGCAAGTATGAGAAGTTTAATATTTATCAAGTT